AAACGTGAAAAATGTGCAGTACCCTCGCCGGCGTTCGAATTCCAGACCTTTCGGGACGTGCTTCCAATTACACTACGATGGCACGGGGTAAAGAGGGAAAAGATACCTCATACTGTGCCGGTGATGTCCACTTTTAGCCGTGGATTTTGAGGCAGAAAGGAAACTAATGGCCTTTTGGTGGCTTTGCAAATGCGGTCAAGAGCAGGAGACTGACGTTAATTACGGAAGGGGAAAATAAACGGCTGTGTCAGGGATCATAAGGGGAGATATATTTTAAAAGTGTTTTTAGGTCTCATTCAGTATCAGTATATCAGAAATAAAATCTTCAATGGAGCTAGAGTTCTCTGTTCTTCACTGTAAGTCAGTAATGTGTATAAGGATGCACATGGTATCAGAATGGAGACAAATTACATAGGATACGAAAAGCTATATTTATTTGTTTATTAACATTTCATTATTACATTGTTTTCGTTCAGGAATTTACTTCCACCCCCATCTGAGCAATACATACAGGTACATGTAAGTCGACTGAAAAGCACTGCTATAAACAAATAATCCAACCCAATTCCAGTTGAACAGCACTTCTTAATACTAATTGTTTACGGAAAGCATCCTAGTTTTTGAAAAGCTTCGTATCATCTAACATAAAATTAATTAATTAATCATCTTAAGAATGATTTTGGTTGAATATGGCAAAACATATGAGGGTTGGCTAGGCATGATTTCATGGAGAATTTTCTAGGGAAGATGGGCTCATATTTACATACCTTAAGGAAATCCACGAAAATGCTTACACAAAGTGATAGGTTGTAGTAGGGTTCCTTCAATCCATCTGTTAAATTTGCATCTAATTGTCAAGTGCTCCCCCCTTTCTTTTGGCTAGTTTATACATTCAAAGGAAATTACATGTTACTCACTGAACTTCGCACGTTAGTCTGAATAACCTTTAAACCCGATGAACAGTATATTTCTGTGAAGGCGAGCTTTCCGACTGTACAATCTGTTTTACATTTAGCGTGCTTGTGCCGAATAAGTTTATTCGCTATTTTATGTAATTTCTGCAATATTTTGTAATTCTTTTATTTTTTTCATTTAAATTTTATTTTTTTAAAGACAATTTCTTTTTATTCACAAGTATTTATATTTTCTATTTTTCTAATAAGTGAAACATTTAATTAGATTCTGATATTTTGTTTTCATAAGATAAACCTGTGCTAAAATTTTCATAGCTCACTGTAGTTCAGTGACCGTATTTTAATGTGCCATTTTTTTTGCGAGTCCATTCATCCGATTTGAAACTTGGAAATGAATTAACAAATCGATCTTTCCATTCAATTGGTCCTATCGACTTGAATACAGTGAGCCTGAGTAAACGGGAAGTATCTTTCGTAAATATAAAAAACATTATAAGCGCATTTCTAAATAATAATTTTAACGGGGATGGCTGTATTGGCGTTTACGAGGTTTTCCCCACGTGTAACGTGCATAAGAGTCAGTTTTGCTTAGAAAGTTCTTCACGAGACACCCTTACCCTTAGGCAAATAACCGTCGAATGCTTTGCTATAATCAAACAAACCAGACCAAACAATAGATATATAAATAAGTAGCTTAAAAAACTGCTGCATTTTATGTATACTTATCAAGTAGTATTTAAATATATATAATGATTAAAAGAAAAGAAAAGTCGGATCTTAACTGATTGTATATAATGTAATCCCTATGAAGGCCTTAACAATTCTTTCTCACTTAAAGTCGTAACCCAAAAAGAGAACAAGTAAAATTAAACTTCAGATACGTATACAATACTGAATCTAATACAAAAAATACAACATATAAAAATAAATTATATATGTACGAAACCTAACTAACTATTTATATTGATATTACGTAAATATACGTATGGTAATGAACATTGTATAATAAAGATATTTTTCTTTGATATTTTATACCTTGTTCTATATTTGGTTCCATTTATATATACCTGTACATAGATATATATAATTTAAGGATTCCATTTAAGGATTATAGTAGTAGTTAATACTACTACATATAAAACCCAAAAGTGCATCAATAATGTATTTTTCAGTATTATTTAACTTCATTCTGAAGAATTTTCTGCAGTCTAGTTTGCGTTATTTTATTCATAAGTCTCAAATAAAAACAATTATTGTTTATATGCCATTAGAAAATTAACAAAAAAGCAGCGACCACAATGTAATTGAAAAACAGTCCTTTTTAGACGTGAAAAGGTTGAAAGCCATTCAGTTATGACTATTATCTCACATACTCATCTACTTCGCATACATGAAACAAAGAATCTCTAAGGAGAAGAAGTAAAGGTTCCCCGAGGCAAATGTGGCTCCGTCAGACCGAAGAGACACATTATGTATATCCCTGAAGCTTACTTTAAAGGGGCAAACGATCCCAAAGCTATCCACCCTCCGTACCTCACTGCGCATGTGCGAAATAACATCAGGAGGCAACAAAGCAGCATGCCGTCGGCCATATTAACAATCTTTTACCACGTTGTTCGAAAAGGTTGTTTGTTGTTGTAGTCAGAGATACTTGGTTTTAGTTATGTGAAATTCTTTTAAAGACTTTTTAAATGTAATGCTGTAAGTGAAATGGTTTTGGGTATTGGGTGAAAACTTTGCTCTTGGTTTTCACAATGGTCATTCCAAATAATTGTCTAAAAGCTTTCATGGTAATTTGTTTTTAAAGTTGTTGTCGGATAATTATAATGTATTTCAGTGTTTTCAATTTATTTAGGGGTGCCTTTAATTGTCTTTAATTATTTTTTCTGTTTCAGTTAGTTATTGCAAATTTTGCTTTTAAAATTTCACTATAAAATTTTAACTATGAATTCATAAAAATTTATTACGTTTTGTATGGCATGTGTTTTCCCCCCTTTTTAAGTTTACAGAAGAAAAGAATTAAGAAATTTATTTCATTTAAATTTTGTCTTCGTATGGCTCGCTGTTTAAATTCAAAGTAAAAATTGGACAGGATTTGTATATTTCGCCCAAAATTCCAACTAACATCCTTTTGCTCATAAAACTCCAGAAATGTATGAAAATAAAACTTGAGTTATTTCAAAGTAAAAAATTTACTATCTCCTCAAACTGCGCTGTTTAAATTTCACCCTGCGCTGGTGTTTCACTGCATAGCCGTGGCTCTTCGGTACAGCGGCGCAGAGGCGAAACAGGTTTACATTGCGTCTATGGAAGCTTTCATTCTTCTCCTTAGAGATTCTTTGCATGAAACATAGCATTCGAAATGAAAACCTCAATATTTACTACAAATTCATTCGTGTAACAATCTGTCTTTCTACACCTATGGCTTTAAAAAAAAAGATGTTATTTATCTTACAGTTTATCGTTAAGTAATACATTTTCATTGTACAAAATTGCATTCATTCGAAGAATTCAATTTGTATTTTCCTCTGTATAAAACTGAATGTAGAGAAGTTACATGTTTAAACAACCCCACATTTTCTCAAGATCCCGAGCAAGATTGTCCCCTCCTTGTCAGTTCTCCCCCTGAAAAAAAGGGATTGTAAATTTACGACCTGACTGCATATGGTGTGATTTCGGATTTGTAGCCGAAACTTGTCCCCCTCCCCCACTTAAGGAACACGTGCAAGTAACCCGTCCCTATCAGCTGTGGCCTGACGGAATAGTTTCTTGGGCACAGTCACCAAATCCTGATGGTGACGAAATTTCGTCCACTACATTTTGGTTCGAGCGCCACTTGTAGAGTCTATTAGGTTTGTAAAAAGCAAGAAACATGAAAAATATACAGTGCCATCTTTAGGATTAGAAATCCGGACCTTCAGATTGCCAGCTGGACGTACTTTCAGTTGCGTCACGCGGTAAGGAGTAAAAAACTCACTTTTTAAAGCCCAGCCATACAATAACTGCAGTCATGCGTACTGTGATTAAGTCCAACATCTATTGTTTGTTAAGTTCTGTATAACTGTAAATTTGAAATCTTTTTGCAAAGTTTAAAAAATCAGCGCTTAATGGTATTACACTCCACCGAGACATCCGGCTCAAAGATTTCTGCCCATTTAGAGAAAGTTCCCAATGACAGATAAGCTGCCATTTAAGAAGACGGAATTAAAAAAAAAAAAAAAAAAAAAAAAAAAAAAAAAACTGAAACGTATGTTGAACCGTATGTGGTGTAAATGCGAAAAAAACGATGCTTAATAATAAAGCTACGAGTAAAGAAGACCCAATGAAAAAAAATAAAAAAATAAAAAACAAAATCTGAAATGTTTCAGATTTTAAATTACGTCCAAAGGGGCGTTTTTTAACATTTTGTGTGTTACCTTTCTTTATTAAATATCATGTTCCTCGCACTTAAACCATAAGATCCAGTGCAACAGCAATATCGCAAAATAGTTTTAAAACGAGCATATCTTTAGAATTTCCGATACAGAGACTCACGCGCTGGAGATAAAAATGTTTCTTCTGCACAACGTTGCCATTGCTCGCTTTGAAATCCTTGAGTTTGTTAATCAAAAATTCGTCAAAGTTTTAAAAAAATAGGAAATCGATCATAAAACAAATTTCAAATTTCAAATTTGGTCTTCCACATGCTCATATTCGTTGGAGGATTACGTTATTCAAAATTCGATGACTCTATGTACCGTTGTTTTATCACAATACGAGAAATATATATACATTTATGCAGATTTTTCATTATTTAATTTCTTCAAATATAATGCAGGACTCTAACATTTTGTGGCAACAGTTTGAAAAGTGAACCGACATTTATGAGTCCGACGCAAAATGCCAAAACGAAACTAATAGTCCTTCGGGATTCAAATCCCTTTGGACTAAAAAACTTCATAGCCGTCAGCTCTATAAAACATTCTAAGTTTTAAGACTAACTTAGTTTTAAATTGCTTTACATCTGTTCACAAATTGCACAGGTTAAGAACGAATTTGAAAAATCTTTCTTTAATTTTGAATATATGGGTGAGGACATTTTCTTACCAGAAATAATTTCCGACCTTCGTTTTGTTCCGAAGCACCAACACCCCACTGGGAGTCAGACCTAGAAAATATTCTATGCTATCTTCTCCCTAAAGATAGAATCGCAAAACATGCATTAATAGTAATACACTATATACATATAAATACGCACAATACATGTAATAAACTGGAATTCGAAGTGAATGAAAGCAACTATGCCTCTCTTTTTTTTTATCAGTTTGCCAATATTTAGCTTTATACGAGTATTTATACCCATAATTTCATCTGGCTGTTACTTTAGAATAGGCATTTCAATTCTATTTTTCCTCCCCGAAACCATGCCTCATTACTACAATACCCACTGCTGCGAAAAAATGGTTGAATCCTCTAATTTGCTTAAAATATCTAAGCAAAAAATATCTATCTCCTAATTTCCTCTGTGCGATGATGACAACACATATTATAATTGTAAATGAGGGGAAAGTGACTACGCCCTTGAAGCGCATTTTTTAAAATAACAGACTATGGTATTTTCAAGCATCATGAACTACTAGTTGCATTCTTTTACATAAGTTTTGATCAACAGTAACGTGTATATATATATATATATATATATATATATATGTCATAATTTCGAAGCACAGTCGCGATGCTGGAATTGCCAACAGCTTTCGATGTCCGTCATGACTGATGGTTAAATCATACCGATGAAGATAATAAATACTCAATTTCGACAAATCACCAGTCTTTATTTTCACACACATCCAATTACTTGGGTAGACACTTATTCAAACATGATTACATATGATAAATTTCCCTGTACATTGGCTTTTAAAAAGGAAAGACGAAGGCAGTTAATTTAGACGAAGGCAGTTAAGTTAAAGGTAAAGCGACGCGATGTTGACAGTAGGGAAGGGAAGAATGACGTAGTTTATTGTGACAAGAGTATTTATACCACGTCTGAGGTATCAGTAGAGCTAATCTGAGACTGGTTAATATTAGTTTTAGTTGCCTTTTTCCAGTAGCGTTACATAAGATAGAAAGATCTAGAATTTGGGAGAACAAACAAATTTAAGGGGAGATCACCAAATTTAGAATGTCAATTTTGAGGTCGCCATTTTAAAGCAGCTTTCGTATTTTGTTATATCTTGCATATATATATAATGTATATTACAATAAATATAAAAAAACTATCTTGGTTGTATGTACAAGCCGTATCTACATGACTGTACAAGATAATAACTGTACAGATTTTCTGTTATAAGACCCAAGAAGAAAAAGTAGCAAATTAAAAATACTAGTTCCTAAGGAATTACTTTTCAACTGCAGACTGCCTAACCCTCTTTGCCACTCTACTGAAACATTTAGACCCATTCCCAATGACTGTTAGATTGAAAAGCGCGCTCTTTAACATTTAGATGTATTTTTGTATGCTTTATGTGCTGCTAAAAGAAAAATTCATATTCCACAATATATGAAAATTACTGTATAAAAGTTATATAATTATTAAAAGTATTAAATACTTTACAAAATTAATGTATTAAATCCTTTACAATCATTTACCTTTTTTTTTTTATTTTTGAGACGCGTTTCATCCAAACATATGTCAACAAACTGAAAAATTATTTTTGTTACTTACCAATACCGGATGAAGATCAACGCCATACATGTCTAGCCACTTTATTCGATCCAAAAAACTGAGTTCAGCTACTGCTGGTACAGTACCACTGAAAAAAAAAAAAAAAAAAAAAAAAAAAAAAACCGAAAAAATCAATGTTGTTTTTACATTTTTGAATACTTTCTTACTAATCTATATTATTGCCGCAAGTACTACATACTTTGTAATGAAAAAATTATGACAAGTTAAGCGCAAAATATTGTTTTGTTTTCAGAGTATTTTTATATTTTCATTTTTAACTAACTATTTTTTTTTAAGAATTTGGTTTCATACTTAAAATTTCCTGATTTTTCTTTCATTCTTTACTATGTTAAAAATTGCTTGATATTAAAAAAAAGCAAAATACAGAAAGAAAATACTTCACGTCTTTGAATTACAGCAATAATCAAAAGTTTAAAAATCAAATAGTTTGATGCAGTCAAATTTACAATAAAAAAGCTTGAGTTTAAACGTGGGAAATCGTACAATTTTTCTATAGAATTAATGTAATATGGAGAACCTAATACTAAGTGAATGATACAAGATTTAATGAATTCTTATTGCAGTGTTTATACATGGAAGGTATCAGAGTTTCGCTAAGCAAATTGTATTTTAATTTGCACCAGAATAAAGGAAAATTTTGCTCTTTAAAGCACTTTAACTGCAAATATACTGACCAGAGACCCTTGTGAATTTCAGTTGCTTTCGATTCCAAGTCTGCTGTCTGATTGGGAGTGAAGTTGAACTCAGCTGCATAACCCGGAAGATTTCTCCTTGGATCATAATCTCCCAGTTCAGCTGTAAACAAGTATGCAACAAATATTCAGACTGCTATAAATCTTAAGAAACAAAAAGTAACTAGAACTTATCTTAGAGCAAAAATATAACCAAATTTGAACAGACAAAACTGACCTTTCTTCTTCAGTACCTAGCACACGCAAAATGCATGGAATCAAGACATGAAAAATGTAAAATATGGTACACTATATAATGTACTAATGAAAAGAGACTATGCATTTTAAAATGGGAAGAGTAGAGCCTCTGATAACCAGGCCCTTATCAGTCGAGGTCTCTATTAGCTGAGTCGACAATCAGTTTAAATAAATCAATGAGTAAATGTAGTAACATAAAAAAAAAGGGCAAAGCTAAAATCAGTAACATTCCTGAATTCTCTTAACAATTATATTCTTCTAATAAATCTCATGGCCTTTTTTGTAAGTGATGGGTCATTTCATGGCCTTCCTATTGAGTATTACAGTAAAGAATGGGGATAATATGTGTTAAAGATGAAAGCAACACTAACAATAAATTCGTAGATATATTCCATATAGGATGACATTTCGGAATGAATGAACGTAGGAAACAGCGAATTAAGTGCTCATGTTTTGAGGTCGCGAAGCAATTAGCTGCGTAAATCTAAAGAACATCAAAATTAGAAATTCTTCTGAGAATGAGGATGAAACGTAAACACACAATGTGAAAATTAATCACGCTGAAGCACTGATGTTGGTTTATTTTCATTACAGCAACGTATAACAAGGCTGTCTATCTAAAGGGAAGGATTCTTTGGTGGAGAACGCTTTAAAGCAAGCTAGCTCGTGTTCATGTTAAATATGAGCAAGACCTTGATGAATCATATGCAGACAGTTGGTTTGCCTGTATTTGAACCCGATTACAAATTAATAATAACCAGCGGCCACTGATAGGCGTTGAAAGCTTTGCACATTCCTGAAGCCTTGTACATTGGCTTGTCCACTGCTCGGCTCTGTGCACTGCTAAAGCTTTGAACAAAGGCCTTATTTAGAGCAATGGACTGATATTTTCCTGATTAAAAATTGGCATGATCGTGTGGTGGCTGATAGGGTAGGAAGATAACAGACATTTTCAAAAAAAAAAAAAATAAATAAATAAATAAATAAATAAAAATAAAATAAAATAAAAATAAAAATAAATAAATAAATAAAATAAAATAAACTACCGTCATAAAAATACGTGTAAGAAATTTGACAAAATTTCACAGTTTGCAAAAAATTTTGATGGAGTTGAATTTTTCCATTAATATTTTTGTTACGAAATAAAATTTTGTACAAATTATTTTTTTAGTTGACGAAAACGTATATCTACCAATAAAGAGTTTGTTGAAAGGTTAAAAATACACTGGTGAAATAAATTAAGAGAATTTTCATATTTGATCTACGATCTCTAGAATTACTGGACAAATTTTCATAAAATTTAGTGTGAACATAGGTTGATACAATACAAACAAAATAAACATGCAACAGTTATAATAGACACACATGCTAATGTATAACACTCATGGGAGTCTGAAGGTCTGAAACAGCGGTTGCAGAAGACACAGAAGAAAGGGGTTAATAGGAGGTATGGTCCTCTCTTACAGCCATATAGGTCTCGCAGCGTGATGTCATACTGGAAATAAGGCAGATTATCAGTGCCTGTGGCAATTGGTCCCACTCATTCAGCAACACTGTTTTCAGTTCCTGGATGGTTCTCGAAAGGAAGTTGCGAGTTGCAGTTGCCCTCCTCAGAGTGTCCCAAACCTGCTCTATAGGGTTGAGGTCTCGAGACCTGACTGGCCAATCCATCCGGCGAATACCCTCACTCTCGAGAAATTCGTCGACCAGAAGAGCTCTATGTGGCCTCGCGCTATCGTACTGTAAAATGAACTCGGGACCCAATGCACCCCGGAAAAGACGAACATAGGGCTCCAAGATCTCATCCCTATACCTCACACCAGTCACAGAGCCTTTGTCAAAGATGTGGAGAGGTGTGCGGCCATCCAACATGATGCCTGCCCAGACCATTACACCGCCATTAGCAGTGACTTTTCCTTCAGTTCAGTTCTTTTCATGCAATTCGATAAAATATGCAAATTCTCTTAGTTTATTTCACTAGTGTAGTAGTACTTGCGCGCTTATTTTCTAATCAGTTCAGATCAGAAAATTAGTAAGATCAACAACAATAACAAAATAAATGAACTGTTGGGCTACTGATAGGAGCTGAAACTTTGTATGTTGCTAAAGCTTTGTACATTGGCTTATAAATAGCTCGGCTTTGTACATTGCTAAAGCCTTGAACAAAGATCTTATTTAGAGCAATGGCCTTATGCTTCTCTTATGGATCTTTTGCTATTTTTTTATGGCTTAAATGTACAGCTTTCTATCGGATTGCATAGCTAAATACCTCTTGAATAGTTAACAATAAACCATAGTTCCAGTTTCAGAAATTAATCGAATAAATAGTGCCAATTAGTAATGCATTTTTTTTTGTTCTATTATTGATCTTTTACGAAGAACGGGTTATTTCTAATTGCATAACTGATCACAATGATAAATTTATAAACTCTTACTTTCCGCCGCCCATTCAATTCTAGGGACCACTCTAAAACAAATTTCATTGAATGTAAGACTTGGAATTTTAAAATTGTTGTATACAGTACTTTAAAACCTATTGCTTCCATAGTCATGGTTTACCAACGTAAAAGTTATCTTTTAAAAATTTGCTCTTGGAGATTAATATAGGAAACTTGTTTTTATTATACAGTCACGTAAAGTTTTATTAATAATATCTCATTTAATTTTAATTGCATGCTGATGTAATTTTTTGTTTGTTAGTTTAAGTTACTAAATAAGCGAACCCATTGACATTTCTTTTTACAGCTAACGAAACCGATCCCATAGACATTTTTCTTTTCTTTCTACAACTCGAACGACAGGGGGGCTCCCGTCCTGGCTTCATTAGCCTTTTGGAATTAGGTACCCACCCCGCGCATCTTAGAAATCATATAAAATTTGTTTCGTATGTTTTGTTAAAACATACCATTTGACCAATATTTTAGTAGCTTGAAGGTCTACCTTATATGATCTATTTTTGTAATTGAAATTACATGTTTACAGTCAACTATTCAACAGATATTATTTTTAATCGTGCACTTTTTTTCTGAGACCTTGCATATTTCCTGAGTTTCTACTTTGAATCTCACGTTTTCCTCTGTACATCGAGAAGAATTTTTTTACAAAAAAAAAAAAAAAAAAAAAAAAAAAAAAAAACTTCTATTTTTATTTCCATACTACTTCCTGCGTAACATATACTTATAGTTTCGGTTAGATATACTGTAAGGTTTATCCTAAGTTTTTAACACTTATCTTTAGTCAAAGCTTTTTTCCTGTCCCTCCTAATTTCAGCTTATAATTTCCTACCAGAATGTGTTTTTAGAATCGCGGTTAATGCAAATGAGTAAGAGCGGTATTTAATTTGAAGTTTCACTGACTTCGTGAGAGAGCCAGATATTCTGACTAGCGCGCGTTTGGCTTTTGGCTACACTCTTTTTAACGCGTGGGCGTACCTCAGACCCTTGATAGCTTCGCCAGCTTAGTTGATATTTAGAGGCCAACTACTCAGAAATCTTGATAAGTTTCCGCTATATCTTTTAGTTAAGCTTTAGTTAAGTTTCCTTTGTTATTACTTTGAGTTCAAGCCCAAGTGGAGGCTTTGCTGTACGTATTGAGAAAGGGACCATTTGTTAAATTTTTATTTTGAGAAATAAAGGTTAATTAACCCTTCTTGAGTTTTACGTATCTGTTTCTGAAATAAAGCGGTTATTCGCTTAAGTGTTCACGAGGTTCCTAGACACTCAGCTGTTAGATAAAGGTAGGAACCCCACAATATCTATGGACCGTGTCATATATCGGTCCTTTGATCAATTCATCTTTGTCGGTTCGTTTCTATCCACTTATGAATGTTATTAGTCAACTCTATTTGCAGGAAATAAACTGAGACACTTATGCAGGTTTAACAATAACATGAGCTATATTTTTAATTTTGTAAATACAGTTTAACTTTTCACAAATTATTGCTTTTATTCACATTTACATCAAACGCACAAGCAATACATTGCATCTCTCAGCTCTTAACAACAACAACAACAACAACAACAACAACAACAACAAAAAAAAAAAAAAAAAAAAAAAAAAAAAAAAAAAAAAAAAAAAAGCTAACTCTACTCTCGGAATACAGCCAAACTAATTTCAAATTTTTTTTCACGAGCATGCCGTTCTTCTCGCATCAAGCACGTTTCTTCTTCTCGTTGCCAGATTTTCCCTCTCCTTTCAGATAAACTGTTTTTTCACACGAGCATGCCGTCCTTCTCGCATCAAGCACGCTTCTTCTTTTCGTTGCCAGATTTTCTCCTCTCTCCTTTCAGCTATAAGTCGTTGGCTTTCAGCTATAAGTCTGTTCTTCCGGCAAGTTTGGTCGGTAGCATAGAGCATGTGCATGACAGACCGTTTTATAGCAATGCCCAAAGTTTTGCTTTGTGAATACTTTTAATCATTAAGTTTAAGTATAAAAATCATTTTAAATCATTATCATTAGCACTAGCCCATTGTTATTGCTATTTACCAAAGATATCTTCGAAGGATATTGAAAAATAAAATTCTTGCGATGATCTATAAATCTGAATGCAAGAATTATTTGCTAGTCAAAAATAATAAAAGATATAGGGTCTGGTCTTCTTAGGTAACATAAAGCTAAAAGAACTCTAAAAGACAATTGCTGAATTTTCACTACGTAAGTTCCACCGAGATACCGTGTTAAAAGACCCTTTATTTAGCTAAAATAACGTTTAACAGTAGGCACTAACTGGTGTTTACAAAAGCCAAAAGTTTTGGCTTAAATCAAAGAAAATAAATAAACAAAAACCAAAGAAATTAAGTATGGCCTAACTTTTTCACAGAATAACTAACGCGCAAGCTGGTTCTGACCGAGGTCGGCGTAGAAGC